TATGAGCTGTGGAAGTTAAGGTATTAATTTTTTTTAAAATGTCAATTTGCCTTATTTCTATTGACGGCAGCCCATATCATTTTGCTATATATAATATTAAAAGATTTTTTTTCGTGGTATCACTCTTTAAATAGGTTATTGAAGAAGCACCAAGTACTTTTTTGGATCCAGCAACACGTAAAGCGATGGGTGAACAAGCTGCTTCACTTGTTAAACACGTTAATTATGTATCAGCTGGGACAGTTGAATTTTTGGTGGACGCTCAACGTAATTTTTACTTCTTGGAAATGAATACACGTCTTCAAGTTGAGCATCCTATCACTGAGTATATTACAGGAGTTGATTTAGTTGAACTAATGATTCGTATAGCTGCAAACCAAAAATTGTCGATAACTCAGGAAGACTTAAAATTTCATGGGTGGGCGTTTGAGTCACGTGTATATGCTGAAGATCCGGAAAAATATTTGCCATCTATCGGGTGTCTTAGTAAATATATAGAACCGCGAAGCTTAAACGATAAACATGAAGTCCGTTGTGATTCTGGTATCGTAGAAGGGAGTGAGATCAGCATATATTATGATCCTTTGATTTGTAAACTTTCTACTTATGGAGAGACAAGAGATGAAGCCATTAATACTATGCTGAAAGCCTTGGATTCTTATGTTATTAAAGGTTAGGAGAATATTTAATAATGCAATTACATTATGTATAGTGTGAACGATGAATGATATTTATATTTTGCACATATATATATTAGGCGTTACTCACAACATCCCATTACTTCGTGAAGTTATTTCAAGCCAAAGATTTCAATCTGGTAAAATATCAACCAAATTTCTTGCAGAAGAATATCCGGGTGGATTTAAGGGTCATGCTGTCAAGGATGAATCATTACATGAACTTATTTCTATTTCTGCATTTGTTCATGCTAAACGTGATTTGAGAAATTGGAGTTGGATAGATGGAGAAGGGACTTCGTTTAGAAATAATTTGAATAAAAGTGCACCAAATAAGTGGGATCTTTGGATATCTGTTAATAAAGATATTGAGCCTATCAACGTAAAAGTGAAAAAAAAAGGCACGAATGAAGAGGAATTTGAGGTATGAACAAAGCTAATATAATCAGTACTTATTAAAGTCAATATTTAATGAATCTTTATATATATATATAGATCATAATGCCAAACTATCCAAGAACCATAATATCAGCTAAGTGGCCATTGGAAACACCACTGATTAATGCTTGTCTCCGCGCTGATAATCAAGAAAGTAGGGCATTAATAGTGCAATATATCGATCCTTTACCAGTTGGCTTCCGACTACAATATGTAGGTACAAAATTTGACATCACAGTTCACAACCAACGGCAGCATGAGTTGAGTCAGTATATGATTGAAAAACCCAAGGAAGATTTGTCCAATTTGATATTGAGCCCTATGCCTGGTAGTGTTGTGAGCTTGGCTGTTCAGGCTGGTGATCTGGTAAGATATTATTATAATATGTGTGAGAAATTCAAAATACTAAATTTATTTATAATTATCATTTAAGGTCGCTGAAGGGACCGAAATTGCGGTGGTAGAAGCCATGAAAATGCAAAATGTATTACGTGCTTCACGTGTTAGTAAAGTGAAAAAGGTTAACATTAAACCAGGTGACGCTGTAGCCGCGGATGAGGTTCTAGTAGAATTGGAAGATGTGAACAAAAACACTTGAATTTAATAATGTCAATAACTAATGTAATAAAACATTTGTATATATATTTTAGAAAAATTTTTAACTAATTTTAATTGGCCAATAGTAAGCAACTTATTATATATCCACATGCTCAATTTTGATTGGCTATTCATATAGAGTCACCATGGTGACCCGTCATTATAAACTAACGCTCATTTTTTTATTTATTTTATTTTTTTGGCAATTTAATTTTTATTAAACAAATAAAAAAGTATACAAGTATATAATATAAAATTACTTAGCTAATATCCAATAATATTGTTATTAAATCCTCTTTATTTATAAATAAAAACTTATTTAACTACTTTAAAAATATTCAAATACAATTTACTACAATAAAAATTTTTTCTTTTTAGGTTTTTAATTAACTTAATCGATGATTCTCCAGTCAACTGAAGCATAATCTTAGTAAAATGTGACTCTGATAACTATAGTGCGAATGTGGCGTTTGCGCAAGATAAACTTTTTTTTATATTAAGTTAATCACCTTTCTTGTTTAAGAGACTTTTGTAAAGCTTGTCAAGATGCATTTAATAGTGGTTAGAGCATCAAAATCAGCCTGGTAAGTACTGAGATATCTTTAAAAAACCTCTCTTTTACTATGTAAATTTCTTTGAATTTTTTTGCAAATAATACTATTGTTTGCAAAGAAGTTTACATAGTAAAAGAGAGGTTTTTTTAAAGATATCTTAGTACTTACCAGGCTGATTTTGACGCTCTAACCACCATTAGATGTGTCTTGACAAGCTTTACAAAAGTCTTTTAAGCAAGAAAGGTGATTAACTTAGTATGAAAAAAAGTTTACCTTGCATGAATACCACATTCGCACCATAGTAAATTTATATAGTAATCGGAGTCATATTTTACTAAGATCATGCTTCAGTTGACTGGAGAATCATCAATTAAATAGATAATAGGGTCCAGAATCGGGTCAGGCTACCCGGAGCAGTCCCAACCTGGCCCACAAAGATGGTTTGGTTGGGCCTGTATTTATAAGCCTGTAAATAAAATGGGTCGGGTTCGGTTAAATCTGCTAATATATCAGGCCGGGTCGGTCTTTATAAAAAAAGCCTGTAAATCCTAAAAAGCCCGTTAGTTCAATAATTTTTTTGATTTTTTTATAGCTATTTTCACAAAACCACATTATTTTTTGATAAATTGAAAGTGTATTGATATGTGATAGTCCGAATTAGAGCTTTGTGATGTATTCAAGAGCTTTATTTGGCCCTAGTAACTCAGACCAAGTCTAAATCAACACTGCAATAGCTAAACTACCACTAAACTTGATCTAAATCTAATAGTAGTAGGCATGAAAGAAGGTATGAAAAGATTAATATAGTATTAGTTAATTTGTAAGGTATATATTTTGAGATTCTAGTTTGATTTAGCCCCTCACAATATATAGCAGCATACAAATTGCATAGGTATAATATTTAGCACCCAGAAAATGTGTACCAGGTTGGGTTCAGATGATAGTTCAAAAAATATCTGCTTTTTTTTCTTTTTACTAAAACATTATTTTTCAATTATAGTGATAATATAAAGCAATATTTAATACACATATCTAATGCACAGAATAATAGAATTTCGAGATTATAATAGTTATTTCTTTTTAACTATTTGGTTTGTTTTTCTGTGACGTTCTTTGATAATTTATGTACTCTTTTTGCAATTGATCGTTCATTATGCCTTCATTTCAAATTGATCGATATTTTTTTTTTGAATATTCGTTAACTGTATGAAATTTGGTGAAATAGATAAGACACTAACTTGTCTATCGATATAGATTTGGATTTTTGTATCCTTTTTGAAATATTCAATATTGGCAAGAAGTTAACTATTATTGTTAACTTTACTAATGATAAGTTGAAAACTTTTCAATAGATATAATATGCTTATTAGATCTTCGTTGCTATATAGTTATTAAATAAATTCTAAATTGTTATTAATCAAAATTTAAAATACCAACCTAATTTTAATATTATTTTTAAATGATCAAACATTGCTTATTTTCACATTTGGCTATTATAGCTTCAACTTGTGACTTATAAGCGATGAAAGTATTTGGTAAAGTCACAGGTAGATTTAATATATTCTATTATTTTGTTTAGCTAAGTCCTAATTTGATGGTTTCTTGCATGTAATTAATTAAATAAAGCTTACAATATAAAATATATGCTTATAACAAATTTTGCAAGAAAAAAAAACTCTTGAAAAATATTATTGACTATTTTATTTTATTAGCTAGATGACATACTGTACATAAATACGTAATTTTTGTTTCTAGTTTCGAATATTCTTACCGTTCCGATCTAGCTTTCCAGATGATCATCCAATCCCAACCTGGTACACATTTTCCAGGTGCCAATTTTTAAGTTCTGGGTATATACGGGCTACGGGCCAGGCCAGGTTTACTCAAAACCTGACATAGCCCAAACTAGCCCATATACTGAATCTTCTAATTGGGTTCAGGCTGGGTCGGGTTTAAAAATATTTTTTACTGGGCTCATGAAAACCTGGCCCAGCCCGGCCCAATCCACCCGATTTTGGACCCTAATGGATAAGCATAAAAATCAATGTTGCTTATTTCTATAAAAATTAATATAAATAATCAAAATTAGCAAAATATACTTTATTCTATACTATCAAGACTAGAGCTGGGATCCGTGAATATTCACGGATAAAAATAAATATTCTGTTAAAAGTAAATATTCTGTTGCACAATATTCGTGAATAATCAAGAATTAAATTACAAATATTCAACAAATATCTTTATGAATATCCATATGAATACTTGTGTGAATATCTGTATGAATATTCGGATATATTCAATAAATATCCATATAAATATTCAACAAATATCCATATATAAATATTCAACAAATATCTGTATAAATATTCAACGCACATTCGCAATATATATATATAATTATCGCTATATTACTAATCACAAATTACTGCCGAATCAAAAACCTATCGAATCGGCCAAATAATCATTTGGTCAATCTTTTACCAGATGTCTCAAAATTTATGAGAATAGCTATAAAATGAATAAAAGTATTGCTTAAGTGATTTATTATGGATTTTCTTATTGACAAAATTTTAATAAATTATCTTTCAAGCAATGATTGAGATCTTTATTTTGATCTATCATTGCAATTGAGCATCAATACAGTTATAGAAAATTACAGTAATAATTTCTTTATACTTAAGGCTTTTAACATGGCATGTTTCATACGTTACTCAACAGAAATGGATAGGACGAATATAAGAGATGTAGCACTTTTTTATAGTTGAAGCGCATATATATTTGTTTAATTGCGAATACATTACTTAATATTAGAAAAAAGTCCGGTCCCTTTCAATTTTGTATTTTTATCTGAACTTAAGAATGCATATCAATACAAAAAAACGATCTATGCCTTTTAAAATAAGAATATTTTATCACTGCAAAATTAAGTTCAACTATTGTAATAGGATATTTTCCGCAGCCGACTATTTTGGGTAGTAATATTAGAAATATTAGAGTAACAAATAGTATTTTTATTCATTATTATAGATTATTAAGATTTATAATTTATTATTATTATTATTGCAGTAAGCTGATGTAAAATTAAAGGTCGCTTGACATTCACATATTTTTTATAAAAATGGTTTGTTTTTAAAAGATTTATCACTTTGTCTCTCATTTTTGGGATAAACTATAATGATAAAAATATATATGGGTATTGCCTCTTCCACTATCAGCAGCCTTAGTGAGTATCGGCTAGCTATTATGTTTTTTCTTTGATATGTGACGTATTAGCTATCATTCCGACATGCCATTGCTTTATTGTGACTGTCATCTTAATAGGCCACAATTTAAACTCCAAAGCTTATTTGCCCCGGCAAGCCAATTCATTCAAGTACTGTCTTACAGCTATTATCATAATTCCTGGGACACCTGCCGAATGATTTTAGCCGATCCAGTTAAATTATTGATTCGGTAAGATCCGTATAATAAAATAAGCTATTTCTGTATTTTTGTATCATGTAATGAAAAAACTGCTTATGTCAACCAATAAATCTTAACAAGAAGGAAACGAATATAAATTAGACTTTTATAGCAAATATATTACTCGCTATTAAAAAAGTTAAATGTGATCGATTGGTTTAAAATTGAATCTCAGGTTAAGATTCAAACCAACCAAGATATTATTAATATTTGTTAAATTATGTATTTGATATATTAGTTACTAAATATTATTATTCCCAAAATATATAACTTAACCGGATTGGCCGAAAAAATCATTCAGCAAATTTTTACAGAGAACGAAAGTTGGGTATGTGGAAAATCGATTGTTCGAACATGTGATTCAAGAATATCTGCGAATTCTCTATAAATATCCGAATATTTATTTATTATCATTTGCGAATAACTAAAATCCGCGAATATCAATGAATTGTCATAATAAATATTTATGAATTCTCTATGAATATCTATGTAGAACCTGAATATTCATTCATTATCATTCACGGATGACTAAAACCCACGAATATCAATGAATAGTCATAATGGATATTCAAAGGATCCTAGCTCTAATCAAAACAAATAAATATCTAGCATTTTGATAATACATTTTATAGCAGAGCTTTATAAATTTAAGTACTATATTGAGTATTTTATTAACTACTTCACAAAGCCTAACTTATTAATATTAGTATTATATAAATTTTAAATAGATTTAACTACACAAGTTTGTATCTTCATATGTTCACAAAAATGAGAAACTAATATTTGAATATACATGACTTGAAACTTATTTAAGCATTACTTATTACTCATATTAGGTAATACTTATATTTTATTGCTTTCTAATTGGTTGAATATAGCGATGGGGTATGCCCGGGCATAAAAGGCATGCCTTCAGTCCAAGGCATGCCCAGGGCAATTTACTTATTTGTGCCGGTAATACAAACCAAAAAAGAAAATCGCATTT